TGCATTAATTTAGGTGTCGCATAAGATTGTATTTTAATTGAATGTAACTCAATTATGAATTAAAAGTATAATTTAAAGGATAAAAGCCAAAAATTATTATATATATTATATCTCTATTTATACTTTCCAAATACGTAGACATTAATTATGATATATAAATATTACATGCGCTAAATGTATGGGGCGTTGAAGGGCTGATCATGGCTTGATAAAGGTTTATAATAATTACTGATAACAGTTTATGTCTGATACAGCTTTATTTCTTAAACCTAGCCAATTGATAAATTATTTATTATAAGCTAAACTCGAGTTTAATTGTATAAAAATACAGTAAATTTATGAAAAACTAAGCATAACTTAAGTTTGATTATTATGTAAATTCTTTACTAATATAAGCAATTTTTAAATTAAGGTGTTCATAATAAAAAGGCGTTTTATATAAAAAATATATATAATTATCAGTCATAATAAACTATTTGTAACAAGCTATTTAGGGCTTATTTGTATATAATAAGTAGTTGTAATTGTAAATATTTATTACGATTACAATTCTTTATTTAATAAGAATAAATGCTTTTATATTCAAAATTCCAAATAATTTTTTCAAGGATAATAATATTAAACTAGATAAAATACTTTTGTATAATAAAGAACTTTGCCTTGCATACTTTAAAAGTTTCAATTTAATCTCAAAAACCTAAATATTTTATTAATATTTGCTAAATTGCGAAATAAATCAACAAAATAAATTAAATAAATATTTAATGGGTATGATAAATTTATGCAAAAATGTTTATTAATTTAATCAATTTATAATTGCACTAATTTAAATCAATTGATATTAATAAGTAGAATATACTGTAAATAGTAGATTAAGTATTTCCATAGCAAAATATATTTTTAAAGTGCATAAAAGTTTCATTATATAATCACTAAATAATAAAAATTCACTATAAATATTTTTATCACATTAATAGACTAAATATCATTTCATAAAATAATAACTCAGGGAATTCAATTTTTGTTTATGAAAAACAATACAAATATGTTAAATAAATAATATGTTATTTGTCTACTAATTGCTAACTGAAAGTTACCTGTTGAAAATATCCGTTTAGTCTCCTAAAAGGTATTAATATACGATTGCAACCCTAATATGAAATATCATATTAGGGTTTAGTAACAATATTTTTGTAGATTTTTATATAATTCTTAGAATAGATTAACACAAACAACACCTAACTTCCCACATATTGTGCCAATATTTGGTAATCAGTAGATGTATTTTCATTGTTATGTTCAACATTTTATAATAAAGAATAATAGAGTTGATAAATCATCCAGGGTCTCCAATAATTTGTTTTTAACATAATTTAGCTTATATAATCATCTCAATGGAATGCCTAACAACAGCTACAGTATAAACAGTTTAGTTTGCATAATTCACAAGTGCACAGTATATAATATACAGTATTATATAAATTGTAATATAATATTATACATAATATACATGTTATACATAATATTATTATTCAATAGCTAAGAATGATAATAATTATTAAAAATAAGTTGCAATTATAAAATATAATTTGAAAGCATCAATCAACTTTTATTTTAAAACTACGTCCCTTTTAAAATAATACTTAAATATATTAAAACTATAAAATGTTATCTACTACAGTATTATATAATATACCTAAATAGCATCCATTTATATTAATAATCTTATTTATTTTTAATTATAATTTATAAATTATGCGCTAAATAATTTTTCAAATAAAATTATCACTTTATTATAATTATTATTTTAGTTATAAACTATTGATTTCCTCTTAAAGATATATTTATATCAAAAGTATCATTAATTCTTAGGAAATACCTAGCTGCATTTAAATTCCTGTTATTCTTATCATATTGATTATTTGACATTAAATATAATAGTAATATGATTAAAATTATGTTGGCTAATATTAACTAAGATCACTGTTAATTAAGTCAAGTACTACATACGTATATGCAGACTAAAATAAATTTTCAGTTAAAATGAGTTTATTTGCAACAAAATATGTTTGATAATCAACTCGATTGAATTTGTAAATTAAATGCTTAATTTAAAAATTAAAAGTTTCATCAAAAATAACAGTCATATTGAGAGCAGTCTTGACAGACAAATAAGTTTCGCCGGAAATACTTTCATAACTGTATTCACAATGAATATATGTCGGGATATTTGTTGGTAATAAACAACTATTATACTCATTCCTCACTCAAAAAATACATAAATAAAACAAAAAACACATTCAAAATACAAGCTAGCACAATTTTCTTTTGTTATTAAGATATGTATAGAAAAAATTGCAATTGTGTTTACGAATACGAGCCCTAAATCTGGTCAAACATTTACGTGTGATTTGAAATTTATATTGAAAACAATTGCGGAATTCATCGCAAATTGCATTCACGTGTATTTTCTCCCCATTATTTGCATAGTATTTTACATGTTTCACAAAATCTTTGACACTCACTATATTTTCGACCAAATCACGTGACATATTATCCCTATGAAAAAATATGTAAAACTAAACTTATAACAATTATGAACATGCTTAAATTACTAACTTTTGGAAACAAGTCTCAAAAATGCGTTCACAAATATCAGCAATAATTTCAATATCCAACTCATGTAATAATTGATTCAAACATTTGTTATAATGATAGACATTGGACTCCAAGTGACATAACTTTACAAATCTTCCGTTTCGTGCGTTTTGTGCGGTTAAAACATTTTCCGGAAATAGTTTTGTGTGAATACACGTGCCGTACATTTCGTGCAATTCCCGCACGCATTGCAAGTATTCTCGCATTAATTCATACGATATGTAAAAATCGATGTAATTTTCTGATGGACTATCCGATCGACTAAATAGTGCCGACTTTTTGTCGATAATATGAGCCAATGTTTGCGATAAATATTCCGTTTGAATAAAAATAAAATTATTTTCAATCCACGAGTTGAAGTGTTTGATAGAATATTCTGGTCTCAAATCAATAATGTCTCGAATTTGTTGCCAAATTTGTGTCATTTCTTGATTATATTCTTTACAAATTAAAAGTTTATAATGTAATTATAATTTTGTTTTATATTTTTAATTTTGACAAATGAAAATGATTAATGACAAATTTTATTACCTGGAACATCCAGTGCTAACAATGAATAATTATAATTGTTATTAACTAGGCGATTTTTGAATAAATACTTGAATTTATCGAATGTTGGTTCAATTACATTAATTTTATCGCAAGATTTTAATAGGGATTCACGCATCTCATAGGTTGTATCTAGGTATCATTAATAAATTATCATTAAAATTGAAATGAAATTTATAAAATTAACCTCACCAGTTTGTTTGATGATTAAGTATGGTTTGCATTGAGTATATTTATGATAAAAATACTGACATTTGCTTTCAATGATAGCGTCAAACATTTGCAAATCATTTGTCAGTAGAACTGGTTTTATAACCAAATCGTTGGTTTGCCTCAAAATGTGCTCACATTCTGGTCTATCTCTCCAATCATTTGATCCCTGTTTTCGGTACTCATTATAGCTCATCGACAACAATATATTATAAGCTTTTAGTAGCAATTCATTTAATTCGCTATCATTTGTGTTAATTGACGCAACACTAAATCAAATATTAGTAAAGCATATTTAAAAAGTTATATATAATTAATCCATATTATAGAGTAGCTGGCTTACTTTCCTGCGATAACGTCAGAAATTTTGAAATTAAAAATTTCAGAACCAATTATGGCGGTGCTATAGATATCGATTTTATAGCTATAGTCACTTCCCAAGGCTTCCGGTGCCATATATCTAGCATCGCCCACTTCCGACGTATTAGTTACCGGACTATAGTTATCTAAGTCATCAAAAATTTTTGACACACCCAGGTCACAGATTTTTAGATAAATAGCATTCACGTTATATTTGTCGGTCATTTTAACTAGAATATTATCGGGTTTAAGATCCCTGTGCATTAAATGATCATGGTGCAAATATTTGACACACACTAATAGTTGGCGAAATAAGTCCATTGACAAGAAGTACTCGAACCGAGCCATCGGTTTATTTTGCGGTAGTTTTGCGAATAATTTTTGTTTCTTAATTAATAGTGATTTTAAACTTTCTGAACATAACTCGATTTGCATGTTTAGCCAGTCGTCGGACAGCCACGAATTAATGAACCTGGTTATGAATGGGGCTCGAATATTGACTAGATGCCTGCTCTCAGCTAGCACCTTTTGGCGCTCGTGTTCATCCAGACCTATTTGCAAATTAATTATGTCATACACCATAGATTAACATTCATTGGCTCCAGAGCCAAGTTACTAATACTTATAACATTAGTAATTGCTGTAGATCAAAAATTTTGTTAATGTATGACATACACATTTAAAAAATATATTCAATAAATACCGGATAAATTGCATTGTTTTAAAGCATATTTATTTCCGTATTTGTCGCTTATTTCGTACACATCTCCATAACCACCGGATCCTAAATGTCTGATTATTTGGAATATTTTATCATGATAATTTACTTGACCTATTATAAAATTATAATAATTAAAAATTATTTAATTATTTAATTTTCTAATCATATTTAATACCGGAAAATGAACTAGATGAATCTGTAATATTGAAAACCGTGTGCAAGGTTTTTTGCATTTCATTTGTATAGTATTTATAAAATGTTTTATGAATTGTTTTCTGTATTTCATTTGATTCGAGTATTTTAAAAACATCATCAAAAGTGCACGCAATTATTGAATCGCCCATTAGATAAGATTTAGCAAGGTTCAATTCGATAAATATGTTATCGCTAGTTACTTTTATAGGCACTTTTCCGTATATATAACTATATAAATCACCTTGTTTATTAATAAAATAAATATAACCATGGTTCAATATATCCTTGACACCGTGTAAATTAGGTATCAAGGTCTGTTTATAATTGCTGTGAGTAGCATGCACATTCTCACCCCACATAAGCACCTGTCCATCGGATGCAATGGCAAATGATACCCAATAAGAGGCGACAACTTTTTCAATGACATACTGTTCCTGAAATTGTATTTCAACTGCGTTTGGCATAAATACGGAGACATTTGGATTGACGGCTAACTGTCCACACAAATTACAGCCCCACCCAAACACCCGTCCCCTTTCGTCCAGTACTAGTGCGTGACTGACGCCACAACTTATTTGCGTGATTACAATATTATCACAAATATTGTCGAATAAAATCTTGTGAGGCTTACTATAGTTACGATTATTAACAGGCTTTCCATATTCACCCAAATGGCCCCAAACAAACACCCGGTGCTCACTAGTCAGGGCTAATACGATGTCGAATCCGACATAAAATTGTCGGACATTAAAGTCGCGTAATTCCGGCAATTCGTGGGCCGTCTCGACCGGCGTGTTGTGTCCGAGTCCGAGCTGACCACTACTGTTGGTCCCCAAGCCGTACACCGACTCGCGGTTTGTCACAAACAATATGTTGTGTCCCAAAGTGTCTTCGAATATATGGAATAATTTTATTACTTTTTTGGTATTTTCCGCAATTTTCTTACTTATTATGAAGTTATTAAGTGAACACATTTTAATGATTTTTGCATTTATTGTTTACTAACTCAACGTTATTTGCAATGTAATAAATGTAGCATGGCACTCCGTACTGATTATCGCTACGAGATCTTTATTAATCAAATTACAATGAACACGACATCTATTATTTAGCAAAACACTGTTTATTATTATAACTTATAATTTACAAGTAAAAATATTTTACAATGAATTTAGAAAATAATACAAAATTTACTATACTTTTAAAATATAGTTTTCATATATTTTATTCTTATATTACTTCCCACATTTGTGCCAATATTTGGTAATCAGTAGATGTTTTTTCATTGTTATGTTCAACATTTTATAATAAAGAATAATATAGTTGATAAATCATCCAGGTCTCCAATAATTTGTTTTTAACATAATTTAGCTTATATAATCATCTCAATGGAATGCCTATAAACAGTTTAGCTTGCATAATTCACAAGTGCATAATATGTGCTTGTATTACAAAATGTATTATAATATAACATAATACCGTAATATTATTCAGTATTTAAGAATGTTACTAATTATTAAAGTTAATAAAATAAATAATTAAATAAAATTGTAATTTTAAACATAATTTGAAAAAATTAATCAAATTTTATTTCTAGACTAATTCCCTTTTAAACTAATACTTAAATAAATTATATTACTAATATCCTACCTACTATGTATTATATAATATACCTAAATAGTATTTTTTTTATTATACTCCATAGAAAGAATGTGGTTTTATTTTTAATCATAATTTCTAAATTATGTGCTAAATAATTTTTCAAATAAAAATCATTACTTTATAATAATAATTATTATATTTATGAACTATTGATTTTGTTAAAAAATATTTTTAAAAATATTATTATTAATTCTTAGGTAATAACTATTAAAAAATCAATGGTATAGCTGCATTTAAATTACCGTTACTTTTAGCTTATNATAATAATTATTATATTTATGAACTATTGATTTTGTTAAAAAATATTTTTAAAAATATTATTATTAATTCTTAGGTAATAACTATTAAAAAATCAATGGTATAGCTGCATTTAAATTACCGTTACTTTTAGCTTATTGATTATTTTACATTAAATATGCAGTAATAGACTATTATTAATAGTAATGTCATAAAATTTATATTGGCTGATACTAACTGTGATCACTGTAATAATAATTCAGATAATATGTAAATGCAGACTAAATATATAAAATTGAAGCAAAAATGATTTTATTTACATTGATAAGTAAAATAATATTTTATATATTATATTTGATAATCAACTCAATAAAACCCATAAAAAGAAAAGTGAAATCAAAAATTGAAATTTTCATCAAAAATAACAGTCATATTGAGAGCAGTCTTGACAGACAAATAAGTTTCGCCGGAAATACTTTCTTAACTGTATTCACAAGTATTGATGAATATATGTCGGGATCACAACCACCCAAATGGCGATTAATATGTGTTATTATAACACGAATTGCAACACTATTTTGTGTGATTAGATGCGGGGTATCGGTCCTCATAAGTGAACCCATATATGATTTAAGCATATTTTCTGGTAATAAACACCTATTATATTCATTACTGGCATCCGTTATACTATCCGTACATCTGATCGGTGTGTTTGTCTTATACCAGGATTTGTCAAAAACCTTTTATATAATTGACTTTTATTATAAAATTAAAAGCAATTTATTTAAATATCCGCTAAAAACAAACAGATTACAAAAAATTGCATTCGTCTCTAACATGTATGCAAAATACTTTATGAACCAGATATTTTTATTGCTATTATTTACGTACTCAATACTTCACTTCACACTGACCACAATCATATTTTTAAAAAGCCCTAGCTTACTAAATTTAATTATTAAAGTATTATTTGATATAATGGCAATTCTTAGTATAGTCCAGGGCATGAGTATGGTGTGGATAGGGTTTATATTATGGTATACAATAAGTTATTATCTGAAATATAAATTTATTGAAATTCAAAGATTATTAATATTTTGCATCAAACATAACAATAACCGCTTAATACAGGCGGCTATTATTGAACACAATTACTGGGAAATAGAGACCCAAAAAGTGAACCATTTTTTTCGGGGTTTAATTTTTATTATATATTATTTTGCAACTATTGGTATCCAACTATGCATATATGCAGTCCATAAGCCGGGTGCTAACATGGGCCTACGAGTTGCATGTGGAATATTTCTAGTATTAGTACTGACCCTGGTTATATTGATGTTCATCATCAGTACATTTGTATCAAAAGAAGCTCATAAACCTGTTGCCTACTTATTATCATACCTGTCTCGGGCACCTGTATTATCGGTAAAATATAAATTAAAGGTTATGACTTTTATTGAGTGCCTGACCATTGGTCCAGATATCGGTTTCTATTGCTATGATATGTTTCCAATGAATAGTTACGAGTATTTTCAATACCTATCGATTTGTTGTGCAAACTATTTCTTAATTATGAAACTATTTTAAAATGTTACCAGATAAAATAAAATACTAATTACAAATCAATAGTATTTATTGATTTGTGTAGCAAATACTAATATTATATAATATTTTTGAAATACCTTATTGTACGATATTGTATCGATTTTAATGTAATTCATAGCTAACATCTATTATGTTAGTTATTTTAATTTTTTAAAATTTTATTATTTATATTATATATTTTTCTGATTAAGAAAATAATATTATTATATGCAAATAATCACTTAATTACTATTTATTATAATAAAAATAATAAAAAGTGTTAAGCTCATAAATTAAATAATTAATAAGCTCCGATCAATTACTTTAACATATTTTATATTATTAGAGTAATTATTATAATAGTTTTGAAAACTATTTTTAAATAAAGTAAAACGTTGATAATAATTATTTTATTTGTTAACATTTTTGATATTACTAGGTAATATATAATTGTATTGTATTTTTAGCATTACATAATTAAATTTTTATAATACATTAGCAGAATTCAACAAATATTATATTAACTTAAAATTAACTATCAATTCTACTTTTAATAAGATTAAAAAATAATGGATTTTTATATTTTTCTAACATAGCGAGTTTAGCTGCAAAATCTGGTTCAGATGCTAGCTTATCTTGATCAATTAATAGATTATCTAATTTTTCTAATATATCCAAACACGAGGGTCTTTTCCACCATTTTGGACTATTTTGCATACTTTTTAATAACTCAACTATTTGTGTAAATCTATTGGTATCAGCTGAATCTGTTTCCATTATATCGGATTCACTAAAACAGATAATAAACAAGGTAAAAAATGCTAAATTAAATGATAGTTATAATTTATACTTACATTTTTGAATAGACTTCAAAAAATTCATCGCCAATAATACCCAAACTATAGACATCGGCGTTAAGGCCATACTTACGGCCTTTGATAACCTCAAGTGCCGTGTATTTCGACAGACCCTCGTAACCACTTTTAGCAATCGGTTTGACCCCCAGTTTATCAAACTTTTCAAACCCATAGTCGGCTATTTTGATAAACGAGTTATCCAGGCCATCGCTGGTGACAAATATATTAGTAGTCTTGAGGTTTCGATGAATTATCGGTGGACTCAAGCCATGCAAATAACTCATACCATCAACTAATTGGGCGAACAATTCACACGTTATGTAAAACTCCATGTAATCCATGGTTTGACCAAATTTTCGACCGAAAGCGTGCGGTTTGGCGATCATTATGTCGAGTAATGTGTTCTCATAGAAAGGCATTTGTATGAAACAGAAACGATTTTTCTCTATCCAATACTTGTCCATTTGTGCAAGGTAACAATTTTTAAGGTTTTTAATTCGATCTAATGCTTGTTCTAACTTGCACATTTGATCACCATTTAAACCTAGGTTAAAAATTAAATACATTAATTACTATGAGTTACATGTTGCATATTTATACAATTTAACTTAATTAACAATATTAAACATACCTGGACACTTCAACTTTTTCAGAGTAAACACTCTATCTGTTTGTCGGTCTCTACATTTATATACCAGTCCAAAACTACCGGTTCCTAAAATGTCTTGTCGTTCGTAGGCTTTCATACGAATAGCTTGATAAGTTATACCAAATTCGTTTGCCAGGTAATTACGATACGAATTTTTGCCTAAACTTTCCAGTATTTCACATTGCTTAACTTCATGCACACAGTCATCATAACGTGCAATAATTAGCCCATTTTTAAGTGGTTCGAGTTCTATATACTGTGCGTTGCCGGGCATCGGGATCCTAGTTTGCGACTTGGTTAGATTATGTTCACACACCACGTGGCCATATACGTTTATATCACCATAGTTAGTTAACACGTAACTATTATTTCCGGTCGAGATAATTGTCCTGACATTGCTCATTAAGATACTAGTTGGACCTATTTCCTTTTCGCACCCAAAGTGACCCAGTTGTCCAAAATTATTTCTACCCCAACTGTATACAGATGTCCTGCCTGTCAGTGCCATGGAGTGGTAGTCCCCGCACGAGACACTACTAAACTTGATGTATATAGCTATGCGTGTGGGCACCGACACCACTTGTTGGATCGAGTTGATGCCTACCTGTCCCCACTCATTTGAACCCCACCCGTACACCTCACCATTTTCGGTAAGCGCCAGGGTATGCCCAGCACCGCAACTGAGCTGGGTCAGTTTGGCATCACTTAGAAATTGATTTTTACACGGCTTACTATATTCGCACTCGAATCCCAGCCCCAATTGTCCTAGCTGATTCGAGCCCCACACAAACACCTCGCTAGTTTTACTAGTGGCAATCATGAAGTTGCTGCCGTTGTAGATTTTTGTGATGCCTTTCCCGCTTAAGTCTTTGATGACCATCGGTTCCTCGATGGGGCCGGTAGTGCCCACTCCAAGTATTCCGGCTCCGTTTGATCCCAACCCGTATACCGTATCATCTTTCCCGATGTAAATGCAGTTTTTACCGCCGTTTATGTCATCAAATATATGGAAAAGTCGGATAAAGTTGAGTAAATGTCGGGGAAGTAAGGGAAGGTTATCTGTAATTTAAAAAACATATATAGTATTAGAAAAATTGTGGTCATTTTAAATACATGTGCTGCATTAAGTATATTATCCAATATTGGTATTACTTAATTACTAGTATTAAATTTGTAAATAAGTTAAATTTTAAATAATTAATTAAACTTATTTTTTAAACTACCTAATAATCCAAAGTCAAATTGTTGACCATTCTGCCCGCAATTATTATCTTCACAAAAACTAACTGGCTTATTTGTGTAGTGATATTTTTGTAAGAAATACTGATCGAAATTAGTATAATTAGTCTCAAAGAATGTTAAGTCATTTTGCATTAATTTATAAACACATCCATCGGCTTTAGCGAAACACCAGTTGTAAGGGTTGGCCGAAAATATGTCCGTAAATTTGATGCCTTTCCCCTTATTAGTTTTATTAAGTAAATTGGTTTCATTTGTCTCATAAGTGTTTGTCTCTAACTTTGTCAGAGTGTGTACCCGCACGACATCCCCATTGATATATCTTTGGCCACAGTAGTAGATATCCCTATCGGTGGACAGGTAGTAGGTAGTATTTTTACTGCATACTATCTTGGTTATGGTCCACCCTGGATGTGCCAGTAGTTGTGGTTTAATATATTGGTTGTAGTTACCAGTTGCTAATTGACCATACTCATTACTACCCCACACATACACGTCCCCATTTTGGGTCAGGGCTATTGAGTGGTGATCACCGCATGCTATCGATTCAATGACACACGATCTGTACAAATAAACGTCAAATGTAAGTGATTTTTGTAATTATATTGAGTTAGGTCAGTTTTAATTTAAGATAATAATCTTATTTTAAAATATATATATATATAGTATTCAATAAATAATGTATATTATATTAAATGCAAAATGATACTAATAAAATAAAATTCTAACTTTTAGTAAACTAAACTAGCCTAATTAAATAAACAAATTAAAATTTACGTGTCACCAATTGCCAATTTGATCGGAGTGTTAATAATGTCCAATAGGTTACCACACCCTACTTGACCGCACCGGTTGTCACCCCAGGCGTAGACCTCCCCGGTCTCTGTCAGCGCCAACACGTGTTTATAGCCACAGCTCAGGAACACTACATTCTTGCCGCTCAGGTACTCATTACGTATGGGAACCACGAAATCGTTGCCCAGTCCCGTAATACCCAGACCTAACTGTCCACATTCATTACCGCCCCAACAGTAGTACTCATTATCCGGAGTCCGTCCAAACATAAAGTTACAGCCTTTGTAAAACTCGGTGATACCCTTATTGCTTAATTGTGCAATTAGTACAGGGTACTCCACTTCCTTGTTATGACCCAGGCCCAGACACCCGTAGTGGTTGGACCCAAACACGTAGTACTGGTCATCGTGGGTCTGGTATATAAAGTTTTTGCCCATATAGTCGTCAAACACGTAAAATAATTTCAAAACGTGTTGATTGTTTTCTACATATTTTTTCAATTGACTAAATTTGTCCAAAACGTTAGCCATTATCTGCAAAAATGCACAAAATATTTCCATTTAAATACTAAATACTCAGTGAACTTTTGACATAAATACATATGTTAGGTAATTATTTATATACTATATAACGAATGGATACCATAATAAATTAATAAATTATTTTATTATTTAAGTTTTGATATATAACGCTAATAAAGTATTGCATGTATAATTAAGGCATCAAAATTCATTTGAAATGTTTACAAATGCAATGTTATAATGTTTATTAAAAAATGACTTACGATTAATTTTGTATATTGTATAATAAAATCAGTGATACAACTATATATATATATTATATATGTATGGATTTATTACACAATATTATATAATATTATATAATAAACATAAACTTTAGACTTGACTTTGAACATGCATTTCATTTAAATAAAATCATACGAGTATATAAATCATAAAGATGCCAAACTGGCAAAATTTTAAAAAATGTATCAGCGTCAGTTTATATAGTATTTGAAAATCTGATATATAAAGTAATAAAAAGCACCATCCCATTTGTCGCATAGCACTTAACCGAACTTACCTTTTAATTGTATATTTTTTATTATTATCAGATTATTTGCTTTACGCATTTCATATGATAAGGACAATGTGATTGCAAAACCTATACATAAGCGCAAAATATACTGTATATCAATGTATAACTACATCTCTTACTTATTAAACAACAACTTGGGTTTTATTAAATAAAAGTAAATTGGTCACGTAGGCCAGTTATGGGGCATTGACTAATAAGATAACAATTAAACTTGGCACGTTATTGCGGTTTTAATTTATATTGTATATATGATAAGTTATTGCAATGTAATCCGGGTTAATTTAATCATTACCCAAGAACTCATATGAGTCATTGTTATAAAGAAATGCAAATTAAGCACAAAATAATACAATTCTTTATAAAATATGTATTTCAAAAAAGTAAATAACTTGTTGTTTGTATTTGTCGAGAATATCGAGAATTGCATTATAAGTAAATATAATATTAACTATTTTCGTTGAATATAAATATTTATGTCAATGAATGCATGATAAGAGTATTTCCCAATATTTGCCATCAATTACTAGTATTTCATATTTTCGACATAAATATCATTAATGTTTTCGCAAAACATTAAAAACATTATAAACAACAATTGTGAACAACAAAATAAAATCTAAGTGCAATCGGCATCAAATGATTAGCCAGCTCATATATTAGTCAATATTTATTTACTAAACATGTGAGTAAAAAATGATTAGAAAAGCCCCGGTGTAATAGGTATAAAAATGTCCTTGTATGTATTGTTTGTATTACATGCATATTGATTACAAAATTCACTCATTATGTTCAAATAGGATAATATATAAAATTCATTTATTTATGACTTTATAACTATCATAACAATTTTAAAATGTGAACCAAGGCACAATTTCATGCACTTTGGATACAGCTAATAATTTATAACTATAATACCATACAATCAAAAATGAACATCATCCATATCAATTTCACATGAAATGCTTTATCAAACAATAAGTTTTAGTATTTAATACCTATATTATTATTAATATGAACTCAAAAATACTTTTGCAATTTTACGTAATGTTATAATAAAAACATTAGTTTGCTGTTTAACAAACGAATTTCTAATTATGAAATTTATAATATGGAAATATTTGCAAATTGTTATTGATAATCTCAAAAAGTTATCATTTTGATTTATGCAATTCAGCTAATTGATTTTAATACACTATGAATCATACATATTCAAAATATTTATGATAACTGTTACCTTTATACATATTGTATTTAATAAAATACTAAAAAGTAGTATATGTTATATTTTTTTTAAAAATTAGCTTACTTAATATATAAGAAATTATTATAAAAACTCTAGATGTTTTACCTGTTAGTTATGATGCTAATATCAAAAATGAATAGTTCACTAAATGGAGCACTATATTATAAATTTCCACGATGATTATTAACAAGTATAAATAATTTATTAATGTAACTATATCCAAAATTTTATTTGTTTAATAATTTTAAAAACACCTAAACCACTTAAATTCTATAATATTAATTGTAATTACACAGATCATATTAATCCTATAATGATAAATGTACTAGGCATGACAAAACTATTATAGTAAATGCTTATATTTTATTTTATAGTTTTTTTGTGCACTTAAGAAGTATTTTACAGTTAAATGTTGCAATTTATCCATTGAAAAAGTAATTATAAAATACTTTATAAGACTAAAATTCTCTATAATATAAATGATACATTATCACATGTCACCATGTTTATCTGATGATAATAACCTGAGAGACAATACGTCTACGATCGTAAACCGATTAATTTTATGAAATAAATTTTATTGAGTGTATTAAATGTAGGGTGGATTCCCGTACATTAGATGTATAATACATGTGTATTATTCTATGTATTATACATGTACAATACATGAGCACATTTACCATACATACAAGAAATACTGCCCTCTATTGAGAAAACTGTCGAATTTCTGATTATTTTCAATATTATTCAAACATAAGTCATATAAATATTGTTAAAAATCAAAATTATTATTTTAATTAATTTTATTTGACTAAAAATGAGTAAAAGTAAATCAAAATCATGTGTTTAGGAAACTTTTGCCAAAATGGATGACAAGAATTTTTGCAATCTTTACAATAAAAATATCAAAAACTGAGCTGGATTGAAAATTAAACTTGCAAAACATTTCAGAAGTTAATTCTTGATTAGTTTTATATAAAATTAAGTTATAAAATTAGAGTAACTATTTAAGAAGTATTATATAAATCAATATTTCCTATTATTTAGGCCTATTTAGAAAAATACACGATATACATTGTATAATACATGTATAATACATGACGGAAAAAAGATCTCGTATATTTTCCACCCTAATTAAATGCTTTAAGCACAAGAATTATTGGTAATATAATATTATGTTAGTATGTCGATAGCTATATTTTGTTTTATAAACACCATATTAATTTACTGGACAAATAATTGTATATAAGAAAATAATAATAATAAAAAGTGCTTAAAATAATTTGAATCTTGCATTATTGACTATATAAATTATGCAGTACATTTATCTCAAATATTTATACAAATAAAATATGTTTACTTTTAGTAGGCCTTCCAGACTGACCGGGATTTAAAAGATTAGTAATATGCAACTTAAACGGAATTATAGGTTTTAATTATAAATGCATTTCCTGAGTTAAATCAATCAGAGATGTATTATATATATAAATAATAATACAATGTAATACCTACATACTTTTAAGTTGAATTATTGCCAGTGAAATATTTATGAATGAAGTCACAATAAAAATTATTTATTGCTCATATAAAATATACATGTACAGAGATTTACATTTTGAGGCGTATTTTTATATTTTTATTAAAGGTAAATGTTTGATTTAATAATATGATAATGTTATATTTCTTAATGCACCTGTAAAGTTAGGTTTAAGATATAAATATTTAATTACCAAAAACATTAGAATCATTGCTATAATCATACGCTAAAATTTAAAATTAAATTCCTAATTGTAAAAAATTCAATAATTAATTTAAGTATTTGGAAACATATTTACATATTAACTGTGTTTTAATTTTGTAAATTAAAAACTAGTTATAAGTGAGTTAACTGTAATCAAGAAAATATTGTCACGTACGCCATGAAATGATTACGTACTAGTATCACTACATATAAATACCGCCCTGATAACATTCTCTAATTGCATATATGTTTATAACTCAATAGATAGATAATTAGATGAAATGCCTGCCTGCTACACAATAATTATAATATTAAAGTAAAATTAATTTAAAAAATAATATTAAATTATATCCACAAAGTGTAAATAGTATCCTTAAACATAGTTTAGCCAAATTGTTTACATTTAATATTAATTACTTTTAAATATATTTTATAATGGATTATTCATTAGTTAGAAGTTTTTATATTAGCAACCTGTCCACTTATTTAACCGAGGTGGAAATATCTGACACATTCATGGAATTATTGAGAAGACATCCATGTTATTTACCAAATGTGGTGGTACGTATTCGCTTAATATTTATAACATTAGCTAATATAGTAAATAAAGATAAAAATAATTTTATTTGCAACAGTAATAATTATTTGGGTAATTTTATATGTAATAAAATAATGTACATTCATATTTCTTAAATAAAATTGTAACTCCATATATTTATATTATGTTAGTATCTAGTAACTAGATTCTAGTTATTTATAAATTCATCAATATATTCAATTATTTATTTCCTAACCTAATAATACCTTTTTGACCTTGATAAATCAATTTCACAATTAGGATATTGCAATTGACAATAGAAAATGGCTTATATTCACTGAATATACAAAGGAGCGTGATAATTGCAACGTACTAGCAAAAATACTGGATGATTGTGGACAAACTGACGCTGCTGCAAAATTGCGAGAATTCAATACACCCAGAAGGTTAGAATTCACATTTAACGAGGTGCTCCCGGTGCAAAATGCGTCCACCCTGAGATCGGGAGGTTCCAAATGGTTTCCTATGAGCTCCATTCCCAGGGGAAAGGCGTTAATATTTGTCAGTATTGGAGAACTCCTACCGGAAGCTAATAGATTCGCGTCCGTATTCGGACAGTTGTATTTTGACGTTGAGATTCATGCAATCAAATCATGTACTCAAATGGTGGCAGCACTAGAGGCTATGGCTGAACAGGCATACCCGGGTAATGCCCTCATTGTCATGTATATCGGACACGGATCTGATGAAAAGATCTGTATATCGGATGATGATGAAAAACGTACTTGTTACCTTGTGGACATATTTTCTGTAAATAAGTGCCATGTTTCGTTTGATAGGATTCCCAAAATTTTTATATTTAATTGCTGCCGGATTAGTATGTTATTATGCTAATATTATTTATATTTTTCTAATTTTATTATATCTGGATCATAAACAGAGAAGGGGATAACTACTTTGCCCACTTTCCACATGACGGATGAGCGCCTAATTATCATTGATATGTCGGTGATTGATAACAACTGGTACAATAATAACACGCGCACTTTTATATGCTATAGCTGTAGCGAAGGTGAGTGCATGTTTAAATTGAATATATTAACACTTGTATTAAAATACTATTTTAATTATAATTTTATCTGGTGTTTCATCCAGCTCAAGCTGCAGGTGCGTATTTTGATGCGGGATTTACCGATTTTGGAATGATATTTAGTCATTGCCTTGCTCAATATGCTTGCGACTTTAACTTGATACAAATATTTCAAAGGGTATGTTATTAGCCAAGAGTTACTAATAAATGTGAAAATTGTCTGTTTTAAGCAAATTCATATGAATGTTATTTTAAAAATTACATAATTGATAATTGTTTAATCATACATAATATATTATGTAGACCAAGGCTTATTTGGATTATTTTGATCAGCGACCTGAGACACAAATGAACATGGTCACCAGGGACTTGTATTTCAACCCTGGATTACCAGAAAATACCCAAAACTATACGCCAACCGTACAGAGCATTGAATATTAAAACTTTTAATTACATTTAATTACAATACTATAAATTATAGTCTATAATTATATTATTTACAATTATTTTTTATAATTATAAGAAATAATTTAAATTAATAACTTATACTTATTGAAATTTTAATAAATGTAATCATAAAATATCAATATAAAGTGTATTTACTTAGCTTGACTAATAATTTATCAAGCTAAGTATTCAATACGCAAACAATATAAAAAATATATAAATTTATTTATATTCAGTTTATTAAATTTAAATTATATACACAGTCTAAATGCCTAATAAATAATATATAATTTAATATTACATAACCAGTACAGTTATTCATTTAATAAAAATAAATAATATTTATTATATATTTATTATTATTTAGTCATTTATACGTTAATGGGTAAACTAAAATTAAAATTCTTAATTTTACAATCTTAATTCATGAAACATTGAGCGTGATATTTAACTTTTTAAAACCAGCATCGATAATATAAAATCTTATTATAATTTAGATTCTTATATTAAAATTTACTGCATTTATGTATAATAAAGTAATTAAAAACAACAAAATACAGTATGTTTCATATAATATTTACTTTGAATGAACGAACAAACGAGCGAACGGGAGAGAGAGAGAGAGAGAGAGGGAGGGAGGGAGAGAGAGAGAGAGAACTATACACTNAGAGAGAGAGAGAGAGAGAGAGAGAGAGAGAGAGAGAGGGAGGGAGGGAGGGAGAGAGAGAGAACTATACACTTATATAATGATAATACATTAGTTTTACGATAGATACAGTAACTGTAGTCAAATTCTACATTCCGATATGTTTACCATTAAAGTAACTTATTTAAACATACAACCCACATAACATACATACCAGTTTTATGTTGCCATGAAACACGACATGTTATCTGGTTAGGTGTAAACTAGTGTTGCTATTACAGTAAAAATTATAAAATTATTTGGTATTCAATTTAAGCAATATAGTTAATATATTAAAATGTGCTGTGCAAAATAAAATTATATTTCTATATAATAAATATAAATATAATATAATTATGAAATAATGGATTATAACGTAGACAGAAGTCTTTATATAAAAAATTTAAAGGAATATTTAGATGGAGTGGTTATATCTGATAAATTTATGGATTTATTAAAAACACACCCGTGCTATTTGCCAAATGTTGTGGTGAGTAATATTAAAATTTTAAAAATTAACAACACTTTATATAATAATTAAAATTTACCGTAAAACAATTATCTGATAAATTTATGGATTTATTAAAAACACACCCGTGCTATTTGCCAAATGTTGTGGTGAGTAATATTAAAATTTTAAAAATTAACAACACTTTATATAATAATTAAAATTTACCGTAAAACAATTAAATATTGATATATCTAATTATCTGGATTAATAAATCTGGGTGTATGTAAATTTACATTAATTTTATAATACTGCCTTGCTAATAATTTTTAATTTTCTATGTAGGAAATTGACCGAGAGAATAGAAAATATTTAATATTTACGGAATATACGAATTAATAAATCTGGGTGTATGTAAATTTACATTAATTTTATAATACTGCCTTGCTAATAATTTTTAATTTTCTATGTAGGAAATTGGCCGAGAGAATAGAAAATATTTAATATTTACGGAATATACGGTGGAACGTGATAATTGTACAAGGTTGGCCAAAATACTAGACGACTCCGGACAACACGTGGCCGCTGAAAAACTTCGAGAATATAATACACCAAGAAAATTACTTAATTTTTAACCAAGGTAGAACTACCTGTACAAGTTATACTGACCAAATCTGATCAGGGTCGTTTTGTGTGATGAGACCTCGTGGGCTGACCACTTATTAAAAAATATATTAGGTCCCCCCGATTGATTTAATCACGAAATATGCTTGCGTCAATAATGGTGACGTTCTCTGTATTGTACATTATAAATATACTATAAATAAATATAAATATACATTATAAATATAAAAATCTTAAATACAGTGTACATTATAATTTTTATATTTATCTAAAACAATGGCGTACAGATATGGTTTCCAGAAACTAACTAGTGATGTATGTATTAAGTATTTATTACTATTTAAGCAAAGTCTAAACAACACTAAAATTTTAAAGTTTATAAACACATTAAGGATTAAAGTAGCATTTATTCAAAAACTCATGAATATTAGTTTATTAATCATTTATGGCTATTACTTATTTACTCAAATATTTTTAATTTATGTTTAAAAAACTCTTACTAGTATATTAATCATTTGAATATTATTTTGTGTTTAATATATATTTAAGTCATATTACTATTTAAAATGAAATTCATAGTCACTTGTAAATCATAAAATACTAGTGTTTTATTATACACAAAATACAGTATATTTCATATAATATTTACTTTGAAAGAACGAACGAACGAATGAACAAACGAGCGAACGAGAGATAGATAGATAGATAGATAGATAGATAGATAGAGAGAGAGAGAGAGAGAGAGAGAGAGAGAGCTATGTACTTATATAATAATGATGTTTACTTTAATACATTAGCTCTCCGATAGATACAGTAACTGTAGTCAATGCTACATTCCGGTATGTTTGGTACTTATTTAAACATACAGCGCACATAACATACATGCCAGTTTAATGTTGCCATGAAACACGACATGTTATCTGGTTATATGTAAACTAAAGGTATTATTAAAGTATTTTTTACATTGTTTTTTATTACAGTGAAAATTATAAAATTACTTGGTATTCAACTTATGCAATATAGTCACTATATTTGCAATGTGCTGAGCAAAATATATTTCTATATAATAAATATAAATATAATTATGAAATAATGGATTATGACATAAACAGGAATCTTTATATAAAAAATCTAAAGGAATATTTAGATGGAGTGGTAATCTCTGATAAATTTATGGATTTATTAAAAACACACCCGTGCTATTTGCCAAATGTTGTGGTGAGTAATATTAAAATTTTAAAAATTAACAACACTTTATATAATAATTAAAATTTACCGTAAAACAATT